AGAGGGCATGCCCTCTTGATCACGGGATCCCAGCAGTGGCCAGAAAGGCACAGACCACAGGGATTCATCCCTAGGAGGGTGGGGAGGCCCTGGCACAGGTTTGCCCAGAGAAGCTGTGGCTGCCCCATCCCTGTAAGTGTCCAAGGCCAGGCTGGAGCAACCTGGGATAGTGAAAGATGTCCCTGCCCATGGCAGGGAGTGGGATGAGATGAGCTTTAAGGTCCCTTCCAACAGGGACCAGGATCAGCCCAGCAGCTCTAGCCAGCTGCCTCCTCACATCCAACTGCATCCAGGCACGGCAATCAGCAGACAGGGAATCAGAGCTGCTCCTGACTGCACACAGACTCTGCACCGGAGATGCTCTGCTGTGCCTGGAGGGAAAACGCTCCCTCTCCTTTTTTTCTTTCTTTCATTGTTGTTTTCCTGGCTGTGGAGCAGAGGCAGGGCTGTCCTTGCTCCCCTCTGGACCCGAGGGATGCGCTGGGGGAAGATGGGAAGAGCCGGGGGGAGCTCCTGGGGCAGCCTGACTCATCCCAGCCGGCAGCGCCGGCGGGCGAGGGGAGCTCTCTGCAGGGAAATCCCACTCCCTCCCTCACGGAACAACCGGTTTTCCTCCTATATTTTTTTTTTTTTTGGACATGAAAGCAAGCAGGAGAGCATCACCCTGTGCCGGCCTCTCCACAATCCATGGGGGGAAAGGCCTCCAGCACCTCCAAAAACTCTCCACAGCCTCTGCATCCCCTGTTCCTGGCCAGGCAAGGGGAAATAAATATCCCTCCCTGTAGCGTAACGCTGTGCAGGGTGATTAAGAGGGAGTTACATTCTCGTCAGTGCAGAGAAAAGGAAGAAAAAAATTGATTTACAAGCAGTATTATGATAATCTCCTTCCTGCAGGAGGGAGGGTGGGCTCCCGATGCTCTACCAGAGCCATCAAGGAAAATTTAGAGGGAGAGAGGAGGCAGTGCAATTAAGCGGCCAGAGCTGGAATGAATCAAGATGTGAGGAAGGGAAGAGTCCCACTCCCTGCATTCCTGTGCTGGGGCTCCTCTGAGCCTGCTGTTACCCAGCACTGCCGGACTGATTTGATTTAGGAAAAACAAACAAACCGAAGCAACCCAATAAGTGCCTCGCAGGCAACAGCGGTTTGGAGCAGGTAACCCAATAACTGCAGGCACACAACTTCTGGGGGCTGGGAAAACCCCATAGAGGGAACCCCCGGGGCTCCTGCGAGCCCCCCGGAGCTGGGACCCTCCCGACGGGCAGGGGAAGGGGCTGCAAATCACGTTAACCTGCCCCCAGGCCTCCCCCGAGAGATAAAGGTTTAATATGGCTCATTTCCTTGTGTGTCCTTGTTCATCCTGCAGCCTGGCCGGGCTGGAGGAGGGGGTGACCCCTCCAGGGGCGCCATGCGATGCCGGGATGTGGGATGTCTTGCTGCTGGTGGGAAGGAGATCCACATTCCCTGCTGAGCCATCGCCCAGTGCCGCTGATTTATTCCCCACTCGCCGCCCTGGTGCCTTTCTCTCCAGCCCTGCCCACTCCCCAGTCCCACCGGCCAGCTGGACTTTTCAATTCCCACTTTTACTTTCGAACCCAAACCCTCCGATTCCACAACTCTTCCCGTTTTCCCCTTCCCACCCCCTTCCCAGTCCCCACCTCCCGGCTCCCTCCCACGCTGCCGTTCCTTGTCTCCCGAGCACAACTGTCCCCCAGCCCCCGACGCTTTGATGAGCCCGTTTGAAAGGAGACGATGACGCTCCGTGTGAAGGAAACGCTTTTCAAAGGCTGCCACAGAAATAGCTGATAGCCCTGACGTTTCCTACTTTCCTCCCGTTCCCTGTAAACAAGGAAAGGAGGCTGCCTGTGTCCCAGTTTAACTGCCTGGGAGCTTCGCTTCCCGGCTCCGAGGAGAACCCAAAGGAAAACGAACTTGGAAGGGATGTGGCCTCTCACACATGGGGGGGTGTGGGCAAGACCCACGTGGGATGGGCCTCCATCTCCTCCTGCACTTGGAAAATGTGTTCCCAGAGCTGCTCTGCTCAGCTGGTGTGTCCTGGCTCTCACCTGCACCCCAGACAGGTGCCAGGCAGGGTGAGGAGATGGGATCCTCACTTATCCTCTCCAACCTCACAGCTCCCAGGGCAATGGGAAACTCCAGTGCTGCTGCTCCTGGAAGTCCCTTGCTGGTGCTGTGTCCCCTCTGCAGCACACAGCCTTCCCTTTCCTGGTGGGACTGGATTACACAGCTCTGCAGGAGCCTGAACAGCACCTCATCCCTGTCCTGGGATCCACAGGGAGGGATGGACCCACCCATGGGCAGCTCAGCCTGCTCTGTCCCACCCAGGCTTCCTTCTTTCGCCCTTCCCAGAGCATTCCCTGTGCTGGTCCCTTCCCTGTGCTGGATGAGGCTCCAGGGGCACAACAACATCCTCCTTCTCCTCACCAAACACTGGAGCAAAACAGACCCATTTCACACAGGGAAATCTGCCGATCCAGAGGGGCAGAGTTCCAGAGGAAAGGAGTTCCCAGGAGATGCCAGAGACCCCCCAAGACTTGTGAAGTCCTTGAGGGCCAGGTGTCAGTGATCCTCAGCACGCAGCTCCCAGGAAAACAGGGAGAGGGAAGGTGTCTGCCCTGGCACCAGCCTCCCAAAAACCTTCTGCCTGTCCAGATGATGAAGGAGCCTCATGACATTTGGGGGTGGCACATCCTGTCTGTGTGACAGACTCAGCCAGCAGGGCCATCACTAACTCACCAGTGTCCTCACAAGGACAGAGCACAGCCCCAAGGTGGCAGGAGGGAAGATAAATCCCCTGGGCTCTGCCTTGCTCACCCCCCTGTGCTTCCAGCTGGGAGCTGCTCATCCCCTAAACCCAAGGAGGAGATGCTGTGCCTGTAGGAAGGTGGTGGAACACGACTGCTCGTGATGGAGAAACCCCCAGCTGAGCAGATTTGGGGCAGTTCAGCCAACCCCAAGCGCCTCAATGACAGGAGAAAATCCGGCATTCACAGAATCACAGAATCATGGAATGGGTTGGGTTGGAAGGGACCTTTAAAATCATCCAGTCCCACCCCCTGCCAGGGGCAGGGACACCTTCCACCAGCCCACGTTGCTCCAAGCCCTGTCCAACCTGGCCTTGGACACTTCCAGGGATCCAGGGGCAGCCACAGCTTCTCTGGGCAACCTGGGCCAGGGCCTCCCCACCCTCACAGCCAGGAATTCCTTCCCAATCTCCCATCTCTCCCTGCCCTCTGGCAGTGGGAAGCCATTCCCTGTGTCCTGTCCCTCCATCCCTTGTCCCCAGTCCCTCTCCAGCTCTCCTGGAGCCCCTTTAGGCCCTGCAAGGGGCTCTCAGCTCACCCTGGAGCCTTCTCTTGTCCAGGGGAACCCCCCCAGCTCTCCCAGCCTGGCTCCAGAGCAGAGGAGCTCCAGCCCTGGCAGCATCTCCATGATGCCCATCACTCAAGCACAACCAGGATGAGAACCAGGACAGGAGCCAGCAGGATCCACACGATCCCCAGAAGTGCTGCCCCAGGAGGGAGCTCCAATCCCGGAGCTGCTGTGCCTGGGCAGGGCCGGGAGCCACGTGAGAGCCTGGCAGGAGAGGCCAGGCCTGGCTGTGGAAGAGCCAGAGGCTCAACGACAAAGCCGCTTGTCTGGGAACAGGCGTGGAGATTTGCTCCTTGCCTGGATACTTCAAAGGGCTTAAATCCCAGTAAATAAGCATGACTATGCAAGAAGAAAGCAACTGGAATCAAAGACCTGATTGTGTTCTAGCAGCCTGTCCTGGGAGCTTTCCTGCAGCAGAGGATACGAGGAAGAAGTGGGTTTTTCACCCTCTGCCACAGCCCAAGTGACAAACCCTCCTGAATCTGAGCCAGCTGGAGCCACAGCTCCAGCCCACGGCGGGGAGAAGGGAGAGCAGCTTCCCCATGAGGTGCTTGTGCTGTGCCCACAGAGCTCATAAAAAGGGATTAGCATGTTAACCACGTAATTAAACATGAAAAACTTCGCGGGCGTCTTCAAAGGCAGGCAACAAACCCCAGAGGTCACACTGCAGCCTCGCTGTGCAGCTGCTTTCATTAGGGGGGCTCCTCCCAGGCACTGCACTGCTCCCAGCTGCTGGAATCATCTTCCCACAGACTGCCAGGGCTTCATTTCACCTCCTCATGTTGAGCCCACAAGTGGATTTCACTCCAAATTCACCTGCCGTGGAGTTCCTCAAGCCAGACAGGATGGGACAGTGCATTCCATCCATGGCCAGCCCTCCCTGAGATATCCAACACCTCCCCCAAGGGGGTCCAGACCTGCAGGATCACCTCTTTTTTCAGTCCCTTGGGAGCACCTGCAGCCCCCAGAGCTGGCACAAGCAGGGATTTACAGCCCCTGGAAGGGCTGGTCCTGTTGGGAACAGCACAAACCTGTGCTGATCGTTTCTGGGTAAAGCATCCCCTGCCTCTGCTCCCAAGCTCCAGAGATGCTGGGAATTTGTTCTGTTGTTTCCAAAAGCATTTCCCACCAGCTTTGCCACCTGTCACTGTGAGTGCCTCTATCCCAGGACCCACAATGCCTCTTCCCTTAGTGCCACCAACTCCAAACCTGGCCTTGGACACTGCCAGGGATCCAGGGGCAGCCACAGCTTCTCTGGGCAACCTGTGCCAGGGCCTCCCCACCCTCACAGCCAGGAATTCCTTCCCAATCTCCCATCTAACCCTTCCCTCTGGCAGTGGGAAGCCATTTCCCTTGTCCTGTCCCTCCAGCCCCATGTCCAAAGCCAGGGTGTGCCAGAACCACGCTCGAGGGAAGAGTGGAAAAGCTTAAAAGCTTCCCAAACTCATCCTCCTGAAGGAGGGAGTGGATGCTGTGCACACACACAACCTGTGGATCGAGGGTAAATCCGTGGAGGAGAGCAGGCTCCGGGAAGAAGAGACATGGAATTAACGGAGCAGAAGCCCCTGGGCTGGAGGACAGACGTGTCCCCAGGTCTGGTGGTGATACCTTCAGCACAGCCCCCCTGGACAACACCCAGGCACAGCCTGGCCCCAGACAGCACAGCCTGGCCCCAGAGCCACCTGCAGACACCAGTTGTCCTCAATCCTCTGCTTTATCTTCCTGGGATGCTCCTCCAGCAGGCAGAGCATCCACGTGCTGCTCCGCTCCGAGACGGAGCTGCGCATTTTTAGCCTGTTCTGACAGTTTTGGCAGCAGAGTTGATGGGGTTTGGTTGGTTGTTTGGGTTTGGTTTTTTTTTTTTTTTTCCCCTACGTCCTGAATTTCTTTCTGCAGCAAACAAGGGGGAAGGTGCTGGTTTACTTCATTAAAGCAATCTTCAAAGGCTGCCCTGCACCTCCGATAGATTCCCAACCCCCGGCAGCAGCGCAAAAACAGGAATGCTGAATTATTTAAGTGTCTCTACCTGCACTACCCCCCCCATTGGTGTTGCCAACTCAACTTCTGCCAAGAAAGACGCTTCCCAGCACGGAGGATCGGGTGTAAGAACAAAGGCAGGGAGGCTGGGAATGCTCCCGAGGGAGGGAGAGCCGGGCAGGGCTGCCTGGACATGCCGGTGACCGCATGGGGAGGGCAGGCAAGCTCATGCACGGGTTAGTGTCACAGCCAGGTCCCATCACCCCCACAGAGAGTACCTTGGAATAACCTACTTGGAATTCTCAAATGCAGATAGGTCTTCTGCCCTGGGCTTGAGGCTAAACCAGCAAAATAAAACGAACAACAACAACAAAGAGTGATCCCGTGTGGAAGGAGTGGGGGCACAGCTCTGCACTCTGCCTGCCCCAAGAGCTGGAGCTGCTCAGCACCCTCCAGGTGAGGCAGAGGGTTGGGGCTGTTGAAGGGCTGCTGCACTGCCATCCCATTCCCTGCATTTTCCTTGCCTTCACAACGGCAAAGACAAAAGCCCTGCTGACCCCCAGGGCCAGGAACAGAGGGAGGCTGTAATTCCACTCTGATGTGCTCTACTAATAGACTATTATTTGGGAACCTTTGCTCCCGTGCTGAGACGCAGCAGCCGGCATGGCCTGAGCTCCCCCCGGCAGGGAGGGGACAGGATGAGGCTCCAGCTTCAAAGGAAGGCAGGGTGACAGCACCATGACAGCCCTGACAGGCACAGGAATGACTGCCCAGCCACCCTCTTTAAGGGAGACAAATGGGACCATCAGCTCTCTATGAACTGCTCTCTGTCAGAAGTGAAAATTTAGCAGCTTCTGTTTAAACCAAGGACTCAGAACACAGAGACAAATCCTGCCCAAACCTACTGGGAGCAGGAACGCCTTCAGATTCTAAAATGACAAAAGGGGCTGTGAAGATTTTTATATTCTCTGCTCTGGTGTGACAGGAACCTGAATAGCTCCGGGCCAGCACAAGGAAAACGGAGAGTGAGCCCTGTTAGATTCATTTTCCTGCCCCAATTCAGTGATCACAAACTCCCAGCCACGAAAGTCAGCAAGAAACTGGTATTTCCAAATCCTTTCAGACATAACTCTTGGCTGGGAGTAGTAAAGAGAGAAGGATTTGTTTTTACAACCTGGAGTTGTTACCACAGCCTGCATCCCGTGCCATGTGGATTTTCAAATCCTTCCCAAGGACAGAAAGCCAGCCAGGAAAAGCTTTTGCAGGGGAAAAGCCTTTGCAGGTGAGTGGGGCTGACCATCAAGGATGTGCCCCCGGCCCCTCACTACAGAGCCCACTTGGAAGAGCCAAAGGAAAAAGATGGGATGTAGGAATAAAGGAGGGGGGGTGTTGTGAGCCTTCAGGTGTGACCCCGGGCCAGCAGACGCAGCCCAGCCTCAGTTTTTGGCTGAAGTCCCTCATTTCTGGAGGCAGGTCCCCAGCACAGGGGCAGAGGTCTCACCCCTGCCAGCAAAGGCTTTGTGTTAGTGACTGAAGCTGCACTACAGGTTTCTCAAGAGAGATTAAAAGAGAGGCCCGTAGGTCAGGAGTGGTTCTGCCCTCGTTATCCTCCAGGCTCAAAGCTCGTAGGGAATGGCTGCAACAGGCACAGGGGGCTTTTCCTGTTCACTGGCATAGCAGAAACCTTCCAACAACATCCCTGCACAGGTTCAGCCCTGGAGACCTTCCCATCCCTCCCCACAGCGCTGCAGAGACCAGGCTGGGTCGGGACACGTGTAACCCAGGACCACCAGAAGCTGGAATTCTCTGTCCAAAGCTAAACAGCTGGGGAAGGAAACCTAGATCCAACGATTTTAATATCACAGGTTGTGCCAAAGCTAACCCACAGGGCAGGGTGATTTGGGGGGGTCGTTTTTAAGGGGTTTCATCAGAGGGGATACAAACTGGAGCCCTTGGATACCTTTTTAATAGTGTTGTGCTTGCTGTTGCCTCTGCTGGCGTTCTCGTTGTGCAATATATCCAGGGCTGTCTCCCTCTCCTTGAGCTTCAGTGCCTCGATTTCTGTCTTCAGCTCGTTCAGCTGCTCCTGGAGGTGTTTGCTTTTCTCCATGTACTCCACCCTAACACACACAAACAGCCCTGGGTTAGTGCTGACCACGTGTGACAGGACACCCGATAACGGAATTATAACGGAAACACCTTTCCTTTGTCATTTCCAGCCTGTGGGACTGATAATATCAGTTTATAGCACACGGTGAACTACTGCAAGCAATTATTTGTTCCTTATTAAAGAAGACCCAGACAGCCAACCCAACAATAAAACTGTAAATTGCATTATTATACAAAATTAAACCCAAGCTGGAGCTGCTGGGTGGTATTTTAAGCCTCCTAATTTCCAAGTGAAGCTGCCCCCCGACACAGGCTGACACCACACAGTGCTTAAGCAGCTACTCAGGAAAGCTCTACTCCCCTGCACCCTCTCCCAAACCAGCTCCCCAACTCAAACCCACCAGTCTTCCCAGTGAGGAAGGACCCTGATGTACCGACTTGTCATGTTTTAGAGGGATTTAGCTTGTCAACTGTGTGGGTGCAAGTGCTGTCCCCAAAATATCAGGTATCTGGTAGACACACAGCGTCCCTGGGAGAGAGAAAGTCTCCCAAAAAACAGAAAGAAAGGGAAAAAACCCACCCATTTGCAAGGACTCAGCCAGAACTGCCTTCCACGGTGAAATAACAACTGGAAAAAAATCCCACCATGAGCCTTGCAACTGGGATTGAAGGCCCTGAGACAGGTCTGAGGGACAGCAGAGCAACAGGAACCCTTTGGAGTGGCAGAATTTGTAGTGAGGTTTGTCTCAGCACCCAGGGAAAGGAAACAGCCCCGGAGAAGTCAGGAAAAGCATCCTATTGCTTTCAGCACTTGGCAGAGCCAGCTCTCCTTGCTTAGGAGAAGCAGGATGACCTAGTTAGGAACCTGGGTACAGAACCAGGAATTATCCTGTTATTTTCAGCTTCTCTCTCTTTCCTTCTGGCTTTAGGAAAAGTTTTTAATCTCTGTCTCCAGCACAGAGGTCTGTGATTTCAGACAGGAGAGGGTACAGAGCAGAGGCAAAATAAATCCCCCTCTGGGATCCAGGGGTGTTTCATTCCAGCCTTGGGAAGCTGTGGCCGGAGTGGGATGGCAGAGCCCTTGCAGCTTTGATCTCTGACCCAATCGATGAACAAAGCACGTTATTACTACAGAGATTAAAATCTGATCTGCTTTGATTTCTGCTCAATTGGTAATTTCGAAGGCTACACTCACACCCTCAGGAAAACACAAGATCAAAGCTCATAATCACATCCAAACTTGCTGGTGAACACTTTTTATATATAAACATGACACAGATTCCAAGGAAAAGGGGTTAAGGCCCTAATGCAGGACCTCAGCACACACTGCCTTCACGTTCTCTGGACACACTGCAGTGCTCCAGCACTCAGCCTGCTGCTAACCCTTCCCACCACTGTGGGCAATTCCAGCCTGGATGGGAGCCAGGGAAACCTTTAGGAGAGGAAGGGGCTGGAGCAGGGCCTGAACTCACCTGTGAGCAGGAGGGAGAGACACACCTGTGACACCAGCTCCCCACCAGAGAAATGGTCAACCAGGAGAATCACAGAGTCCTTAAGGTTGGAAAAGCCCTCTGAGATCAGATCCAACCCTTCCCCAGCTCTGCCAAGGCCACCACTGACCCATGTCCCCAGGTGCCACATCCACATGGATTTTAAATCCCTCCAGGGATGGGGACTCCACCCCTGCCCTGGGCAGCTGTGCCAGGGATGGACAGTCCTTTCCAGGAAGGAATTTTCCCAATATCCAACCTGACCCTCCCCTGGCACAGCTGGAGGCCGTTCCCTCTCCTCCTGTCCCTTGTTCCCTGGGAGCAGAGCCCGACCCCCCCCCAGCCCCCCCCTCCTGTCAGGGGGTTGCAGAGCCAGAAGGTCCCCCCTGAGCCTCCTTTGCTCCAGGCTGAGCCCCCCCAGCTCCCTCAGCCCCTCCTGCTGCTCCAGCCCCTTCCCAGCTCCGTTCCCTTCCCTGCACACGCTCCAGCCCCTCAGTGTCTCTTGTCTGAGGGGCCCAGAAGTGCCCCCAGGGCTGGAGGTGCCCCAGCAGTGCCAGCACAGGGCCGGGCCCTGCCCTGGGGCTGGGACACAGCAGGGCTGGCACAGCCCAGGGGCCATTGGCCTCCTGCCCCCCTGGGCACACCTGGGCTCGTGTCCAGCACAAACCCCATCCCAGGCCTGGCCTGGACACATTCCACATACTTCTCCTTCTCGATTTCCATGGACAGCCTCTTCATGTCCGTGTCCTTGAAGTCGAAGGACAGGCTCTCACTGATGAGGTTGAAGCTTGGCAGGTCTGTGGGCAGCGCCGTCGTACTGGAGTTCATGGACTGCTAAAGAAAGAGCACAAATTAATCACCTTGGGCCACACAAATGTTGCTACAGCAGAGGTCAAATCACAGCAACACAAGCCCAGTGTCCCAAGTACCAGATCAGCCTGGAGATCCCCTTGCTCCATTCCCAATCTGCTCCTTAGTTCAGAGCTGTTGATCCTCTGGGACCTTGGTTCTTTGCAGTAATAAAGAGGAGACAAAACACCACCTGCCTTCAAAACCTATTGACAAAACTTGGTAAAATCGAGGTTTTATCACTGCTGTGCCACTTGGGAGTCATCTGACAGTTATTTACCATTAAATCAGGTTGATAAAGTTCAAGCTGTGAACAGGGGCAATGCAGGACCCCGTGTGACAGCAGAGTCCTGCACTCCACTGCTCCCCAGAGCAAAGACCAACGTGACCCCAGGGATGCCATTCCAGCAAGGGCCGTGGAGATACACCAGCACATTTTTACCTTCTCAGCAATCTACAGTTCCAGGTGTTTAGGAACTGCTAGATCCAGTTGGAAATGCTGAAATAACACAGGGAGTCACTCCTATCCCACCTGAGCAAGGATCTGGTACTTTCTTCCTCCTGCGAAATGCTGTGACACCCCTGCTGACCCACACTGATTTTATCTTCCCATTAAACAAAAACGACCCTTCTATCCCTCAGTCAAAAACTCTGTCACACCTCTAATAAATGGGCTCATTAGGAGGAGAGGAGAAGCCTGATGGAGTCATCGCTCTGCTCCTGAGGAACGTCGGATGAAGTGGCAAACAGGGCACACGTCAAGGGTGGCACAGCGGCATCAGGTGGGGCTGAGTCACAGCTGCTGCCAGCCTGCTTAGCCCTCCTTTTGGGATGTGAGAAACCCAGCACCCAAAAGGTCCCACACCTCCCTGCTGGATGCTCCTTCTTGCTTTAAGGGGTTCCTGTAATGAAAACAAGGTGCCACACCATGGATGGCACTGCTGGGTACCTGCCCTGACAAACGACCCCTCGAGCTTCAGCTGCTTCTTTCCTTCCCTCCTTTCTCCTACTTGGGATCCTCCAGGCACTGTTTGCAGCTAGGTGTGCCTCAACAAGACCTGCTAGCACTGGGGTGACAGATTTACTCTGCACAATAACCTGGCTCTTCCCTCACCACCAGCCTGGAATTCACAAACAGCCAGGGCTCATTCCCAGCTCGCTTTCTCTGGATAAACCTTAAAGGGACAACACTTCATCCACCTGCAGAGCTGGAACACAAACACCTAGTACAAACATAAACAAGGCAGCACCTAAAACTGCACTTGGCCTGGCTGGAGCATTCCAGGTGAGTTAAGACCCACATGACAAGGAAACTCAATTCCTTACTCCCCTGCTTGAACGGAACACAAGCACATTAATTCTGGAGCCAGCGCTGGAAGGGACAGCTCAGTCCCTAAATTCCAGTCTCGGAGGGAAGGGGACAGGTCTGCCAAAGCACTTAACTGATTTAAATACTTGCATCCCATTGACATTCAAGTCCCTTCCCTGTAAGGCACACAGGTGTTCCCAAAGCCCTTCCCACGTGAGGCTCTCCCGTCCCTGCTGTGCAGGGAGCCAGGAGCATCAGAGCCTGCTGGCCTTCAAACGACCTTTAGCTTGGTTTTGTTTCAGCACAAGCTTGTTGAGTTTTGTTTCTAAAATCCCACAAACAGCAGCAGGAAGAGTTGAGCATGAATTTCAGTTGCTGCAGCCATTAAGTTTGGAGACAATTTGTCAGGGTCGCTACAGCCACCTCCCTTCCCTCGGCACCGCTCTGTCATGGAGCAGGGGAAAAATGGTGGAGAAGTCCAAGAGCAGCAGGAGTGAGGAAGAATAAGCAAAGAGCAAAGAAAGAGCAGGCTGAGGGTTTTCAAAGGCACAGGCTTGATATGTGGAGCAAAGCATTTAATAATCATGGAATGGGTTGGGTGGGAAGGGACCTTAAAGCTCATCCATTCCACCCCCTGCCATGGGCAGGGACACCTCCCACTAGCCCAGGTTGCTCCAAGCCCCGTCCAACCT